ATATGGCAAAGGTAAAAACGTGAGATTAAACAAAAATATTGACCCTTGAGTATAACTCCACTTTGATCTTCAGAGAAAGGTGGAAATATTGTTCCTAGAAAATTTTATTTTAATATTGATAACATTAAATATGAAAACTTAAATATAGCAGATGTTTAACCATGACATGAATTTGCTTGAGTGCCAAATGAACAAGTTGTCATGACAACATCAAGATTAATAGTATTTGCTCCTTCACTGTCAATAAAATCACCTCTTCCAAATTATTTTTTTTCTAAAACAGGCCTTTAATGTTAATAATGTTTCCAAATTTTGAAAAGGAAATTAAAAAAAAGCTACAAATAAACAATAAGAAAACTGATCAATGTATTTTGGATAAATTTAAAGTAAAATGTTTGTTTTTGTCGATATTTAGAAATAAAAAGTCGAGCAAAAAGTTATTTATTCATTTAGTGGGTGATTATAAGAAAGAAAGAAAATATTCAGTTAATTAGTGAATTTCTCACCATGCGACACAAACCGATGGCCAGCAGAGTGAAGGGGAAACAGACGCGGACGTCCATCCAAATCATCACGTTAAGGTAATCCTCAAACCCCATTTCTTTTTATGAACTTCTGAAAAATCCTGTTGCAAAAAATAACAATAAAAAATTATGAAAGCATTTTATTTGGTTATTAACATGATATCATTAGTAAGACTTGCATTCCTCTGCTGTGCTTCATTTATGGGAAATTCACACATTTTTATGCAGGTTTTTAGTACAAATATTTAATAAAAACTGTTTCAGTAAAATCACCTAAAACATTTGTAAATTGCCAGAAGATATTCATAAAAAGAGAGTTACTTGGTGTCAAAGTTTTGACAGTAATTAATAATTGGTTTACTTACAGTATTTTTACCAGGATGTCTTTCTGCTCAACAATCCAACTTCTAAAATCAGCAGATCTGCAGCAGTGAAGTATTGATTCAACGTTAGAAATGTTAAAAAGACATTTCACCTGCACTGAAATGTTATCCGTACTAAACATTCACATGGTTGCACATCAGACCACTTTTTTTTTCTTTTTCTTATCTGCACTGTGAAGTGGTTTTCTTCAGGGTGGTTTTCTTCAGAGTGGTTTTCTTCACAGTGGTTTTCTTCGCAGTGGTTTTTTTCACTGCCTTCAGAGCTTCGCTGTGGTGAGATGAGTGGCAGGAAGCAGAGATACTGATCAAAATGCAGCAGGAAATGTTTTAAGAAACTCTGCATCTGTACATATTTAAGCCTTTTGCATATAAATGTATTTTCTTTACAGTTTCTTAGTGTGAAAAGTCTCAATGTTTAATAATTGTGGCACAAAGTTCCAGGGTTTCCAGGGTCACCATATGGGGTCAGAACTGATGGGGAAGCAGAGCAAGACACTCAGTTTGAGTATAAAGGTTCAGGGCCTCTGATGTGACTAAGAACAAAATGTAATTCTGCATTCAGTGCAAACATAATGACAACACTTTATTATAATAAAATAATTTGAGATTTTCTGAATGAAACATGTTACTTTATGCCTCTTTTTAAAAATTTGCTACATATTGGATTGATGTCAATGTGTGATTAATAATGTGACCTTGAATTTTATGAAGACAGCAAAAATGTCTGTTGATGAGTCCCACATCCCTCCTGCAGGGTCGCGACCCCCATGTTGAAAACCTTTTCTTGCTGGTGCAGTTTCCCTTGTTGTGAGGAAAACTGGTGAAGGAGCCACACAGAGGAGGAAGCATGATTCAAACGTTTATTTTCTTTTACCGTAAAAACGATTTTTCTCTGTATCTTTAGTGCTTCTGTGGCAGGAAACAGAGATAATGATCAAAATGCAGCAAGAACAGAACTAACCTGTAAGTAGATTTATGTCACCAATATCACAACACAGAGAGTGACAGCAAGTATACTCTTTATTTATAGCATGGCACAATCACAATTTCATTACTCAAATTTCACGATTAACTTTTTCTCCTTCAAAATAAAAAAAAAAAAATCAAGAAATTTTGACCAGAAAGGAAACCTGTAAGGCAAAGGAGTTTAAAAACCACAGAGCTCTACATATACAGCATTTAAAAATGTAAAGCAACAATTTAAAAATGTTATAGAAGTTAAATTTCATAAAGTAATTTTGAATCGTTCCATTGAATCCGTTTCCTCTGCTGACTAATCCACTTCCTTTTCCTTTTACCATCATCCTGAACATTTGTTAGAATATATTACATGGTTTCAAATCTCTACCTGGTCAGATGAATAGGATTTAACTCTTCATTTCTGCATATACATCGGATCTGTTTGTTTTATTTACTTCTTTTTGCTCTCACTTTGCTTCTTTTCATGTGCTGCATTCAAACTGATGAGCTGCTGAGATCAGATCCTTCACTGGTTTCCTTCCTGCAGCTGCACAGACGCAGCAGCAGCTTGTCAGTAAGTCCTTCACACATGAAGACAAACAAGATCAAATCCAAACAAGGACCAAGGAGAAACAGGGTCAGAAAAATATCAGCAATTTTAAAGTAATAGCGGTTAAAATCTCCTAAGTAAATATAATAAATAACTGCAGGGAAGATTGAGACGAAGTAATTAACCAGTAGAACCAGAAGCATTCCCATCGTTCTGTCTGTTTCTTCAGATGACACTGATACATTTGTGTTTATGGATTTGAGGGTCCAAAACAGACTCAAGATGAACACAGGAGCAGGAAGGAGCGCAAAGATCAGGAACAGCAGTCCGTGTAGGAACTTTAAAAAAACAGGACCTGAACCTAAACTGAACATCCAGACAAAGACACAGACGATCAGCAGGCCTTTGGTTTGTGTCACGCTGTATGGCAGCGGGAAGGAAATTAAAAAACACCTGCAACACAGAAAAGATTGTAAAAATCATGAAGAAACTCAGGTTGCAGATGTCACATCTACCACAGCAGCACCTTTCCAGAGCTATGACCATCCTGAAGCAGAGAGCAGCCAAAGCGCAGCAGGCGTAGATGTGAACAGAGACCAGATGCTTCCAGTGATAATCTGAGTGTCGAGGTAAAGCGATCAGAATGATGAGCTGAACCAGATTAGAGAGGAGAAGGTTCATGTAGTAGGAGACAGGAGCACGATCCAACCGCACCTGCACAACCATTTCAGACAAACCTGGATACTTAGTAAACAGGTCCACATGTTTTTAATATGGTTATCATTTCAGACCAGAAACCAAATGGGTTTTACGTACCAGGCAGCACAAAGCGATGAGCAGGAAAGTAAAAGGGAGGCAGAAACGGACGTTGATCCAAATAATCACACTGAGAGAATCTGAAAAGTCCATTTTCTGAGAGGAAAGATGTTTGACAATAGATTAAACTATCACAACTCAAATACACAAAAGGAAAAATATGACTTCGGTTTTTACTGTCTGTAATTCTGCAAAGATTTATTTTAACTTTTGGGTCTTTAGTTCTTCAGCCAAAATAAAATCTGATTTTCAGCTCAGGATTTTAAACAGCATAAAAATGTAGATCACTGTCTGCTCATGCATTTTTCCTGTTATTAGAAATGTTCACACCCTGAAACATTCCCTTGGTTTTCTGTTATTATTGCCAACATTAACAATAACTGATGTAGTTTTATCTCATAACTCAGATAAATAAAGGAGACCATCTGTTTTTAACTGCTTGTGCTTTTTATTTCAAATATTTTGACTGAACTTGAATCAAATACAAACATTCACTTAAAGAAACTGTAATTATGAGATTTTTTACTCACAATTTATCTTAAGAAGATTTCCAGGTTGTCAAAGCGATTTTAGAAAACCTTCAATACGGATGTTTCCAAACGAAGTGCAACAAGGAAATAGTGATAAACCTGCCCCTCCCACTGTCACACACACACACACACACACACACACACACACACACACACACACACACACACATAGCAAAAAGAAACATTGTAGAGCAGCACATATATCTCTAATTAATTAGGTTTTGTTTTATTCATTATTTTTGCATTTCTTTTCAAAAGGATTAACCTTTAACCTTTAACTATTTACAGATTTCTGAGCCATAAATCATTTCATGTATGAAAGTATTGACTCTTAATCCACACATTGAAACATTATTATTATTATTATTATTATTTTTTTTTTTTTTTTTTTTTTTTATTATTATTATTATTGTTGTTGTTTACGTTTGAATTTATTTCCACGGTAACGTGGCGTAGACGCAGATGCAGGGTGTTTAGATAACTGTCTAATAGAAAAACAGAGAAGTGGAAAGCAGGTTACATACAACATGTTAACAGATTATATTGTGAATATGAGTAAAATAATCTGGAATCATGTATTTCATTAATCACTCATAATCTGCTGCTTCAGTTTTCCTTCCTGCAGCTGCAGAAATTCACCAGAAGTTTTTTTTAATGGAGTCTTTACACATAAAAACTGACAGAATTAAATCCAACCTTTACCTACAACGACTTATAGATTATGGATTGGACAGTCTGGACACTCAGAAACACATTTTGACTATTTTAAATCTGCTCACATTAATTTGTCTTGTTCTGAGAGTTTATCTCTCTGACTTCCTCTCCTCGGTGTGGGGAAGTGAGTGGCAGGAAGTCGAGTTAATCATCAAAATGCAAAGACGACATTTTGAAGTTGAAGTTATTGATGTCTTTATTTTTACATTATGCTTCTTTTTATATAAACTACACAACAGCAGCTTCGTCACTAAAACATGATGGATGTTAATGAGTTGAATGTATTTGTGTTCAAAACCCTGATGGAAAAAGCAGATTAGTTTTTTCACAGATTTTTACAGTAAATGTAATGTGAAGAATAAAAGTGGGCAGAGCGACGCCTCAGATGGAGGTAAAAACATTTTACTGAACCTGAATAACTGAATCGACATGAAGTTCAATCAGATTGAAACTCATCTTCATTTACACTAAAAGTCTTTCATGAAAATAAACTTCAGCTAATTAAATGTAACATCACTGATTTACATTTAATGTCAGTAGAGCTGAAAGATGCTTTCTGCTCTTAATGTACAACTAAAATATCAAATTTAAAAAAAATGAATGAATCACAGACTGAAAAAACTTAATGTTGCCGTTAATTTTTTCCAAACACAATTAGATTTTTAATTCAATTCAATTAAGTTGATTTGACAGGAACAGACACAAATTTACATAAATAAACAGAATAAAACAGCAATTCCATCAAATGTATTTGTACTTATAGTCTAAGCTAATTTACAGCACTTTGTTTACAGCAAGTAAAACGAAACTATAATATCTTTAAAACATCTTTTAAACTATTGTTAACGCTTAACATGTTTTTAAGTTCCAGTCACTAAATAATTTATTTTTGCCTTAATAAACTGATGATAATTCACAACAGTAATTTTAGTTAACAGTTATTTATAATTTATCAGGTTATTGTTACAATTTCAGAAACTTTAGGAGATATTTCTGCACCAATGCTAAAAGAAGCAAAGCAATTTTTTTCTTTTAAATCACAATATGATGTTTAAAGTGTAAATATCTTAAAATACAAAAGTTAAATGGAAAAGAAAACACAGAATGACTAATTAAGCCAAATATTTATAAGAAGCAAAATCAAATAATTGAAATATTTAATATAATACATTTGGTTGCTAATAAAACAAAAACATTTTTATGGATAAATAAATATAATAAACTTCAATTCAACCTTTGAATTTTTGGCATCAATGTTTCTTTTACCTGACAAAAGGGCAGATTTACATGCATTTGTTTTTGTTTTTCATATTAATGATCATCATTGTTTTGATTCATCTAAAAAATCTCAGTTTTTGTGTTTCAGTCAAACTGATGAGCTGCTGCTGTCATTTGCTGCAGCTGTTTCCTTGCTGCAGCAGCAGAGACGCATCAGCAGCTTCATGAAAGGCCCTTTGGACATGAAAGCAAACAGAATCAAGTCCATCACAGGACAGTGAAGACTCAATGTGAAAATGATGTTTGTGATCAATGATGACTCCATTCGCCTGTAATATCCATATTCATATTGATTTAAATATGAACGTATATAAATAAAGTAAGCGCCTGTTGGAAAAATAGTCACTATGTAATTAACCAGCATCAGAACTAAAATTCCTATGTTTCTGCATTTCTCTTTGACGGGCATCGAGGACGCTGCACACAGTGACTTCAGAGTTACAGCAACAAGGATGGTGGTTACCACGGCAGCAAGGAGCAAAAGGCAGAGCTGGAGTAAATCGCGAGAAAAAGTGATTAAAAGAAAGACGAGGACACCAGAAAAAATCCATCCACAAACACTGACAGCCACAAAACCTTTACACTGTCTGATGAAATGACACTGTGGCTTGGATATGTAAAGGAACCTGAAAGAGAAGACGAAAGGACGACCTCAGCATCAGTACACAGACGTTTACACACAGCATCTTCCATATTAATATATCTGATTCATTACAGTTTAATTCATTACCTTTCCAGAGCAAAGATCATCCTGAAGGAAAAACTGGCCATCCCACTACAGCTGTAGGAAATAAAATCTACAGACAGTCTATAGGGACCATATCTGCCTATATACATATATACAATCAGAGTGATGATCTGGATCAGGTTGGAGACGAGGAGGTTCACATAGTAGGTAGCTGGAATGTGATCCAAACGGACCTGCAGGAACCAATCAGAACCCAGTTAGTGGCTTCACACATAAAACCAGCAATGATTCATCCAGGAGACGGGTTGTGGTGTCTTAAAGATGTAGAAATATTAAAATTTATCTCACTATGAATGAGACTGATGAACCTGCTGCACCTCTGTGGTTTATTTTGCTATTTGTTGTAACAACATGAGGAACAATAAGAGATTGTAAGTTTTTCGTTGATCTCATGAAATAAACAAGTTTTTATAAAGAGATAAAAAGTTTTCCAACACTCATCTGTTCATATTTTAATGTTGGGATGCTAAGGAGAATATGATATTAGGATGCTACTTACTGTGCAGCACAAAGCGATGACCAGAAAGGTGAAGGGTAAACACACATGAATGTTGATCCAAATCATCACATCCAGATACTCTGGATAAACTTCAAAATCCTCATATGGATAGTTCAATCCGATTCTTGGAAAGGACATCATTTATTCCTTTGCTGCAAACTTTGATTTTAGATTTTCCACCTGTGATGTGGTGAAAACATTTTATTTTAAAATGTTATCTTTTATCAACACAAAGCTAATAAACTGGTCTGAAGTGACCTGGACCAATCAATGTTACAATCAAATTAACTGGAAAACATTTAAATGCTTTTGCTCTGTGTTGATTATTTTATAATGAGTTTGAAATAGTTGTGGCTTCCAAGCAGTTTCAAAGTTTCAAACTGAACCCTTCACATCAAATTCACCTTTATTTGCTCCAAACATTTAAATAATCACCAAAATCTCTCACAGAAATAAAATGATGCTCTTCTGATTATTGCTGCATTTTATTTTTCTAAAGATCTAAACATCTTTATCAGGAACTTCAGTGAAAAGGTTTTTACTCACAGCTGTTCCTCGGCCCTCCAGCTCAACTCAGTTTAAATCAGTCACAGCGTTCAGAGGTTTTCATAGCAGGTCTTCAATGAGGAAACCGGTTCGTTGTGGATCATTCACTCCGCCTACTGATGCTAACAGGGAGTAAAAACTTTTTATCTTCTGTGCGACGATGATTATTTCTTTGTTTAATAATTTACTTAATTTCAGCAGATATTTCGGTCAGGCACTGAAACCCAGAACCCAGCGGAGCCGACTCCTCCCACTGGTACCGATCCGTGTTTTCAGTCCTGGACCCGTCCACCAACCAACCGCAGCAGAACCACACGGCACCAAGCAAAGAGACCCTACAGAGCTGCCAACACCCGGGCAGGCACCAACTGGTCCCAGTTTGGGTTCAGGTGTACAAAACCCCACTGCTGTGTGAGACTTTCACTGACTTCATGCTTCCAACATGAGCAAATAATATAAAGATTAGTGAGGAATGTCTCAGCTCAGCGCTCCAGCTGCTAAAATCAGTCAGTACCATCAGAAAGCAAAAGTATCTAACTGACCCTTTTCCAGTGACTTGGTTCTTATTCATGTGGAAAAGTTTCAGGAAAAGATGCTAACATGTCTCTGCTGCTGCAGGATTGAAACCCAGCATCAGATCACCAGAGTGATTGTATCTCTTTGGTGTTTTTATCTCTACATGAGTCGTTACTCTACGATAAGTGACAGGGTGGCACAGTTTTCACTACAGTTTATTAAAAGTATAAAAACAAGTACAAGAGCACTGATGTGTTAACTGATAGTTTCACAGAGTTTGACTCCAACCTCATGAATTCATCCTGCACCGTGCAGCGTTTCTCTCTCTGCTCTCAGAGCTTCGCTGTGGTGAGGTGAGCAGGAAGCGAAGATAAGAGAAAACAAACCAGCAAACTTTAACTCTCCTGCAACACATGGGGTCGGTTACATGCACAAGTTTTCTTACTCTGTGCGCGGTCCAGGGGGTTGAACAGACCCTGTGTGCACTTTTACACTTTTTTTTTTTTTTTTTTTTTTTGTAGTTTCGGAAACTGATGGTCTGACAGAACGACGTCCTGACCGGACGGTCAGCTACTCCTGAGCGTCACATCAGGATCGGTGGTGGGATTTAAAGAAAGACATTTATATCCACATTATTGAAGCCCCTCATATGTTCAGAAATAAATGTTGATCTTCAGTTTTGGTGAAATGTTTGTGTCTGTGGTGTAAACCTGTGACGTTTTTCCTTTCTATTAGAACTATGCTTTTCTCTGCCTAATTTAAACATCTTTTCTGGAAATTATAAAGGATCTTTCTGGATGTCTGTCGACACATTTCAATTTTTTTCTAAATAAATAATGCTATTTGACCAATTCAGAATTCAGAATTTGTACATGTTTACATGTTGGTTTTTTAATGCCTCATTGTGCACAAACGAGGAAACTGCCCTGTTTTTCCTGCTCTAAAAGCCTGCAGTCACAGTAACCAACAGGATACAGGAAGAGAGATGCGGAAGACAAGCAGGCAGGGAGACGGGTTTATTTTCAGTTATTTATAATCAAAGGTATTGCCAAACATCAGGATTTTTAGACTTAATTTAAATGAACTCAGCGTTCCAACAGTTTGGCAGTTTTCTGAAAATTTGTTCTAAATTAGAGGAACATAAAAACTGAATGTTGCTTCTCCATGTTTGGTTCTGGGAATGCAAAGCAGACCAGAACCAGAAGACTTGAGAGGTTTGAGCATGTGTGTGTGTGTGTGTGTGTGTGTGTGTGTGTGTGTGTGAGATGAGGTGGGGTGGAGAGTGAAGGTGGGCGATCAGGAAATAAAGCTTCACCACATTTCAACCCCATAATAAACCTCATCTTTCATGTGATGGACTGTTGAGCTGGAAAACATCCTGCAAAGCTGTGAGTAAATTTATAAATAATTATAAATAATGACAAGTTTGTTTTAGTTTGTATACATTAATGTACTGTTTCTAAATTTAGATTTGTATGAAATTAAATGTTTTTTTTATTTATATTTAACCCTTATCTGAAGTGTAAATGAAAGTAAATAGTTTATCAATTTAAAACACATTTTACAAATACATTTTATTAAGATATAAAACAGCAAAATAATTGTAGAGTATTTATAAGCCATCATGAACAAACTGCTAATCCGACTTTGCTGCTGGAAGACTGTTTTTAAAACAAATGTTTAACTTGTTTTTAGAAAACATCCATCAATAAATTCTTATGTAATGAAACAGATGAAAATGTAATTAAATGTCATACTTTAAATTATTGAAACAAAATCACATTAAATTCTTTTTCATCGGTGTTTTATGTCATGCTGACAGAAAGATAAAAATCAATCCGATGGATTCAGACTTGGCCTGTGGTGAAGTAACATTCCTCTAACCTACTTACTGCTGGAGAAAGGAAACATTTAGGTTTCAGATGTGTTTATTGTTGCTTTTCTTCTCAGGTGTAAAAAATCTGCAAGAACAAACCGTGACCAACAATAATGGAGTTTTCAGGTTATTTTGATGTGATTATTTGGATCAACATCCGGGTCTGTCTTCCCTTCACTTTCCTGCTCATCACTTTGTGCTGCCTCGTACGTAAAGTTTGTTGTTTTTGATCCAAAATGAAATTTGCCAGAGAAATGAATGTGTTTACTCCGTATGTCTAAAGTTTGATATTCTTTGTAAATGTGTTTGCAGGTGAGACTCGATCATTTTCCCGTCTCCTACTACATGAACCTTCTTCTCTCTAATCTAACTCAGCTCATCATTCTGATCGCTCTTCCTTCAAATTCATATTATGATTGGAGATGTTCAGCTTCCCTCATCATCTACGCCTGCTGTGCTCTGGCCAGTCTTTGCTTCAGGACGATGATCGCTCTGGAGAGGTGCAGATACAGTGGGATACTTTTAACCGTCATGGTTACATTGTTATTTTTTGGGTTTAATTTTTTTCTTTATTTTGTTGCAGGTTTGTTTTCATGGCCAGCCCGCTCTCAAACTGCATCACACAAACTAAAGGTTTTGTGATCGTCAGTGTTTTGGTTTGGGTGTTTTGTTTCCTGTTTGTTCCTCTTATTTTTGCATGTCGTCAGGAATTATCCTACCTGATCTTTGCCCTCCTGCCTGCCCCGGTGTTTACTGTCTGTTTGCTCTGGACTCTAAATACAATGGATGTACAAACATCCATACCAGATGATGAAAAATGCAGGAATGTCAGAGTTTTAATTGCTCTTCTCCTTCAGTACTTTGTGACAATCTTCCCAACAGTCATTTGGTTTACGTTCTTTGAAAAGTTCAATCAACATAACTCACAAATTTACCCATCATTAACTTCATATAGCTATTTAACTTTGTTTCTTCACAGTTATGTTATAGACTTGCTCCTATTTGTGTTCCTGTGCAAAGGTTTCATGGAAAAGCTGCTAATGTGTCTTTGCTGCTGCAGGACTGAAAACAGGACTGAAAATGACAGCAGATCAGCAGAGTGACTGGAAACTTCAGCAAAACGAAGTATAAATGGAATATTTTCTAGATTGATCACAGCAAGAGACTTTAAGTTATACTGAATTGAATCTGGGTATCAGGCTTGGTCAGGCCGAGCCAACAAAACCCTTAATAACAACAACAACAGAATAAAATCATGTAGCAAAATGTAGATTCTCTAAAAACATTTTCATAAGAATGAAAGTCATATCTGCACACATTGTGTATTATAAACCTGAATTGGACACATGACCTGGTCACTGATTTCAGTTTGATGTTTTCAACATAAACTCACAATATGACAGTTAACATCAGTCAGCATGAGAAAACCTGAGCATTTAATTGACTCTTTTTGTCTCTTTTGTTATTTTGTTGACTTGGTTCTGTGTTTTTATTTCATGTTGAGTTTCAGGCCAAGCAGCTGATGTGTCTTTGCAGCAGCTTCATTGAAACATGCAGCAGATCACCAGTCTGACTGTAGCTGTGTTATTAACTCTGAGTGGTCACTGTATCATAAGTGATTAAAACACGGTGACAGCGGCCTCGTCTTTTACTCTGATCTATTAAAAGGTATTAAAACAGGAGAGTGCTGATGTGTTGACTGAAAGTTTCGACTCCAACCACATGAATTCATCCTGTTTCTCTCTCTGCTCTCAGAGCTTCGCTGTGGTGAGATGAGCAGCAGGAAGCGAAGATAAGAGAAAACTGAAACCAGCATACATTAAAGACACTTATCTTCAGGTTATGAGGCCCCTGTGGAGTTACAGTTCATGTGTTCATAAATAAATGTAATGCAAATGAATGTGTCAGGTTTGTCCTTCATGTCAGAACTAAACTTTTCTCAGCTTAAATTTAGGATTCTGTGAGGAAACGACTCCAGATTTATTCACATTTCCTTGGACTTTGGAGTTAAACTTTATGATATAATGTAAGCTGCTTTAAATGGTTATACGTTACAGTGGACCAGAAGTAATTTCCCATGTATTCATTTTTTATCTTATAGTCATTTAATGAAAAAGAAGCTAAATTTTAAAAGTGTAATTTTAAACAGATATTAAGTGTTCCTCTCACAGAGCCCACATTTTTGTATTGAAAATAGAATTAGTCTAATGTGATATTTTAATAATTCTTACATTTTCTTATCTTAAAGTCCTAATCCTAGATTCTTAAAAAAATATTTAAGACTAGCCATCATATAGAAACCTGACATTTTTTATGCCTTTTCATCCAGAGAAAAATATTCTGACGGAGATGTCAAGAATATGTACAGAATAGATTTTTCTCTACAGTGTTAAACTGATGCTGATTAATAGTAAAATATGAAATATCTTTACTTTTTGTCGATTGCTCCTAAATTAACAGAATCAGAGGGAAACTGATGAGGCTAATTTCTGTTTTAGTGAATCTCTGTAAACAGTTTTTATTTAGTAGTAATATATATATATATATATATATATATATATATTTTTTTTTTTTTTTTTTTTTTTTTTTTTTTTTTTTTTTTTTTTTTTCTTTTTTTTTTTTTTTTTTTTTTTTTTTTTTTTACATGAACCTGCCAGTGCACGGAGAGGGCTCCGTACCAGAGGGACTAGAGACAGAAAAACCTGTAAATATTAATTCATATCTATTGTCCCAGTTTTTTAAAACTGAACATAATTAATGCTAATGATAAAATGTAACAACTAAACTAACTACATAAGCTGCTGCAAGTGAACATATAAAAGAACAATTCACACATCATTATTTTAACATTTTTATTTTAATGTAAGTTTGTGAAGTTCATATTTTTGCTTTGTAGGAAGAAAGTTGTGGATTCAAACCTCAGCCTTTCTGCACAGATCTGCATGTTTTCCCTGTGTTTCCTCACTGGCTCCTCCGGCTCACAGACCAAAAACATGACTGTTGTGTTGACTGATCACTCAAAGAAGCATTAATCTACGAGTGCTTTATGTGTTGCAGAAAAAAAGTTTATTTCACATGAGAGAATCCAGACAGATCTGCTTCTCATCCTACTTTTAGATATAATGTGTTCTGAGAGTGAAGAGCTGCATAGACCCATAAACCCTTTCATATTAAGAGCTTTGTATGTAAGGATAAAAATTTAAACTTGTGGCCTGGATTAAACAGGGAGCCAGTGAAGGAAAGCTAAAATTAAAACAGAAATATCATTTACTTTTGATTGACATCAAAACTCCCATTGTAGCACTTTGGAAAGCAAAATGCATTTAACATTTTTCTGACTCCAGTGTTGAAGTAACAAATACTTGGTCTTTTTCAGCATCAAGGTGGGACAGAATATCTTATTTTACCTAAAAGTCACAGAGTTTCTGCAGCTCAACACACAATCACAACCCAGACGAAATGAAACAAACAGACTTCCCAACACAAGATTTATTTCTGAGGCAAAAAAATCCATCAAACACACATTTCCTTACTTTTCATGCTAAGTTTAAAACAATTAAGCACATTGATATAAACTGATCTTGATGTGTTTCATCTGCTGCAGCTGTGGCAGCTGAAACACATCAGCAGCTTGTCAACTAAACCTTCACACATGAAAACAAACAGGATCAAATCCATGAAGGGACTGAAGAGAAACAAGACCAGTGAGCTGTTATATTTCACGTATGATCCACGAAAATATGAATTAATATAAGACAGACTCAGCGGGAGGATCATGCATATGTGAACAATCAGCAACAGCATCAAAGCTGCCACGATTCTACGTTTTTCTCCTGTGGTTAGGGAAGTGGCTGCAGGCAGGAATTTTGGGGTCCGAGCCACACAGAAGATGAACACGGGGGTGGGAATCAGGGGGAACAGCACAAAGAATATATACTGTGAAAACATCATGAAAAGAGGAAAAAGAAAAATGGCAAACAGCCAGATCAACACACAGAATATCACGTAACCTTTGGTCTGTCTGATGAAGTGCAGCTCTGGCCAGGAGATGAGAAAATACCTGAAACGGAGAGACGCCGGTCAGACTGCTGCACAGAAACGGAGCCCTGACGTATTAAACATCAGACAGACAAAGAAGACGGGTGTGCTGCTACCGTTCCAGAGCAAAGACGGTCCTGAAGCAAATACTGGCCAAAGCTCCACAGCCGAGGGCAACGAAGCAGATTGGATGGAAATTATTTTCATTTATCTTCACCATTAAAGCAACCAAACCGGCGAGCTGGATCAGGTTGGAGACAAGAAGGTTCATGTAGAAGGTGACAGGAAAACCGTCCAACCTCACCTGCAGGAATGAACCAGAGCGTTAATATAATAATAATAATAATAATAATAATAATAATAATGTGCCCTAAATTAGTCTATGAACTGAGAGGCTGGTGATCAGCATCAAGTTTTTAAACCTTTATGAGATTAAAACAGTTTGAAATAACCTCAAAAGGGAAAATATTCATGTTGACCTATTAATATTTTCCCTCTTCTGTAATGGACCCTGCTGCTTCAGAGTCCATCATTTTCCACACATTTGAATAAATTCTGTCTGAAATAATTACAAAAAAAAGAGAAAATCCAGTTTCTCCTCACATTCAGACATTTTTTCATTGTTATAGTTTTATCACTACTATGAAAACTGTTCAGTGGGTGTCAGTTAATATAATTTCTATTACTATTACTATTATTAATTACATCTCTACTAACAATGGTGAAGATAATAATAATCTTTCTCTTTTATGCTAGTTTGGGATTCAAACATAAACATAAAACAATAATCATATTTATTTACCACACAACCCAGAGCAAAAACGATCAACGTGAACGGGAGGCAGAGACGGACGTTAATCCAGATCATCATGTAAATATAATCTGAAGAATCCATATTTTGTTCTGCGATGTTCAATGGAGATGAAATCCTGTGGGAATAAAATGAAACAGTTTGAAATGCACATCATGCACACAGTGTAACAAAAACTATAATCCTCAAAGTCAACGAAGGAAACAACTAGAGCATAATTTATAACCCGACTGTGTTTAATAAGCACTTTTTCCAACATACCAGCTCAGAATAGCTTTTATATAAAATTATTTTTTTCCTACATTCTCAGTAGTGTATTTAAATTTATAAGTACATTTTGTTTTGTTTTTCAATGTTTTATTGATAACAAAATCAATGTAATGTAGTTTGATAGAAACTGTTGAATGTTTGTTGCTTTAGATTCGTTTTCTCAGTGAATCAAGAAATGAATTTAACAAACTTTTCTCTATTTTTAAATCATTTGCATTAAGAAATAAATAATTCAGGTTCAGTGGGCGTCTCTGTACTTCAGTTCTTTACATTCGACACGAACATTTTCATTAGAAGTTTTTTCTAAAATCAACAGGATGTTTTTGAATAAAATATTCAGAGATTTTATTCTGGACTCCTTCCAGCTCAGCACTGCAGGTTTGGAAATCCGACTTTTAGACACTTTTAGAATAAATGTGCTGTAAAGCAGTGTTATATTTCATAGGTCATCCACACCTGGACAAATTCAGAGAATTTCAATTCTCACATTTCTAACAAAAAACATTTTTAATCTAACTCAAGCATTTCTGATGTTAAATTTCATAATTTTATTCTAAGCTCACCAATTCATTATCTGGTTAATTTTAACAATCTAAACTTGTATATTTTGTATCCAAAATTTAATACCAACCTGAAACAGAAAAGGAGAGAAACAGTCGAGGTGTGAAAGCTGCATAAAACCCGGAGTTTGCATCAAACTTTCACACCGGGACTCGTTCTGCGCTGGGAAGTGGTTTTCTCTCTAACCTCAAATCGTCTGTGTGTCGAGGTGAGAAAGTATAAAGATAAAATGTAAAGACAAAAAAGTTCCAGAAATGATCTCAAGCAAACTTATGTGTTTTTAAATGTAATGATTTCTCTGCAGTATAAAGCAGAAAAATATCTAATATCTGATTTCATCTGTTTTAACCAAAAGAAAAAAATGTTGTTTTACGATAAAGTTGATTTTATTTTTGTAGTGGTGTGAGATTAGTTTTGTTTTTATCTAAAACTGAATTAAAATATGAATAAATAAAAATGAGTAAATAAACAGTTTAACAAAATTTATTGATCTTTATTAACACAATTCGATGCTCAAGCATGAAAGGAAACAATAAACCATAATATCACATAAAGTCACAAATTATTTGCAATAATTTGAAACATCAACAGTAACTCATATTTAACTCATATTTAACTCATATTTAACTCATATTTAACCTTGGATAATTGTAGTTTAACTTTTATCTGCTTTGCTCCACCAGGAAACCAAAAACTGTCATTTGAGTTCAGAAACTAAAAGCTCTGTACATTAATTACATTAATGTAATTCTGTCTTTCTTCATACAGACCATTCCATCATATGAATATGTTTACAAAGTTGGTGTGAATATCAAACAAATATCACAGACAATATGAGGAAAAATAAATCTAAATTTAAATAAACCAAACAGACAAATCCTAAAGAATACAGCTTAAATGTTTAACAGCATATTGTATGAACTTACACTGAAGTAAAAGAAATACAGTGAAAACATTAATATCAAATAAAAAACAGAACAATTAAACTACAAAAGGACTCTTCAAAACTCATATAAAGTTGATTTCTTCTATTGAAACTAAATTCTCCTGAACATAAAGTCCATTTTATGTCTGATGTCTGGATTCTCCTTCAGAACAAAACAAACACAAAAACATCTGAACATAATTTATTAACCTTTCTGTAGATTCTGAGCCTCTGAAGGATCCATGATGCTGATGGATTCATCTTTGACTGATCCAGGTTGGTTCACCAACTTTGAGATATTTCTCTCTTCCTCTTGTGTTTGGTGGATAACATATGTTCCCCCAGGAAGAAGAAAATCATTTTTGACTAAAACTTTCTTCTAAAGTTTATATTAGAAAAATAATTCCACTTATATAAATGTCTAACCAGTAATCGTTATGTTTATTAAAAACAAATATCTTAAGTTGTTTCTCTTTCCCTCATGAAGTAAACATTCTCAGATTGAAGGCAGGGTTTTCTTTTTCAGTTTTTATTAATCATATTTCATGTCATATAATCAGATTTCGGGCTTTTGTGATTCTTGTGACTGTCAGCATCTTAATGAACCAAATTACAGAATCTACTATACCAAGCTATGGTATGTTTGGTGTTTCACTGTTTTTCATCATATATTTCTACCGAATGTTTTATTTTTACACCCTTCCTCTGTCCTTGGTTTCTGTGTCTGTGCTCTGCTATGATCTATAATCTATAATAATCTATGATCTATAATCCAACATCTGATCTGCTGCTGTCGTTCTCTGCAGGATTCGTCTTCCTGCAGCAGCAGAGACGCAGCAGCAGCCTGATAAAAGGTCCTTTGGACATAAAACCCAACAACAGGAAATCTAATACAGGGCAGTGCAGACTCAAGGTAAAAAATATATTCATGTTCAAATCACGGATATCTGTATTGATTAAAAAACCAATCATGGGGAGAATGAAGAAAATGTAATTAACCAGCAAAAGAACTAAGGCTCCAACAACTCTGCAGTTTTCTTCAGCCGACTCTGAGGAGGCGACACAGAGAGATTTGAGAGTCACAGCAAGACAGATGATGAACATGATGGCAGTGAAGATGAGAGATATTAGTCCAGCCAAATCAGGAAGAGATATTAAAATACTACAAAGAACAATACAAAGAATCCAGCCCAAAACACAGAATGTTACGAAGCCTTTCGTCTTTCTCATGAAGTGAATCTGTGGCCTGTAGAGGAAAAGAAACCTGAAAAAAGACATAAATATCAGAAACATAATGTTCTTCAGACTGATGTCAGACTAGCAATGAAAGATGAGTTGATACCTTTCTACTGCAAAAATCATCCTGAAGCAAGAACTGGCCACTCCAGCGCAGACGTAGGAGAGAAAGACTCGACGCATGAAGGGATCATAATAGTTGTAATCATTATAGGAGTAAGGAGAACTAAATCTGCCATAATAGACCAGACTGATGATCGGGATCAAATTGGATATGAGGAGGTTTATGTAGTAGGAGACAGGAATGTGATCCAATCGGACCTGCAGGAAACAGAAAGAATCATATTAGTGTTAAAAGATGAAAACAATAAAACTCTTATTTTATGTTTCCACCCTGAAAGATGTAACAACTTAAACTCAGCAGGAATTTAACTATTAAATGATAAATTATCAGATTCTTTAAAATTTCTACGTGTTGAAATTTAGATTTGAACAGCAGGAGAAACTAATATATAAAATATTTAGATATGAGGTTTTCTCACTTACAGAGAAATTATGTTTCTATTTTTACCATCGACTGAAAACTGATGAATACATTTTATAGATTTATGCAATTATTTTCTTCCAGCTTGACTCAACACACACACACCAACACACACACACACCAACACACACACACACCAACACACACACCCCAACACACCCCAACACACACACCCCAACACACACTCTCTCTCTAGCAACACTGAGTGAATCTAAACAAACTGAAAATATTGAAATGTTCGTATAAAACCATCAGAAAACATTCATCAAACTCAGCACTCAGACTTAAAAGTGGCATGCAAAGGAAAATAATGACAAAAAATGTTTTTTAATAGTTTTTCCTTCAAAGTAAAAGAGAAAAATACACAACAATAAAGTACCAACTTAATTGAATTGTATATTAAAATATAATGATGTAGAAATCAACACCTTCCAGTGGTCGAAGTATTACATTAATCAAATAATCACAAAATCAAGTAACAGTAACATTCGCTGTAAGTGAAGCATTTTATTCTTTGTATTTTCTGAATACTAACATAATTTACTACTAATAATTATTTGATGGTAATAGTTGGTATTTACGTACCATGAAACTCAGAGGAATTACCAGAAAGGTGAGAGGAAAGCAGACATGGATGTTGATCCATAAGATTATCTGAAAATAGTCTGATGGAAACAGCATTTCTTCTTTTGATGTAACTGTTTTGCCTTTGGAGAAATTCCTGTCAGGAGAAAAATAAAGTTTAAAACCCAAATGCTCCAAATTAATTAGGACGGAGCGTCCAGAGAGCAGTCTGGGCTCCATTTACGATTTTGTGCAGCACTTAACTGAAGTAAAGCATTAATTTTTTCCTAGATGAAACTATGTAAAGTTTTCTTCTTCTATCAACCTTTTTTTGTTTGGTAAGTTATTATTTAGTAATTATAACCAGACTGTTGCTGAAAAGCAAGTTTGGGACAACAGTTATCTTACCGACCCCGTTTGTACAGAAGTCAAACTACTTTATGGTAATTAAAATATTGTGATCAATTCATTGTTGTGAACAAGTAAAAATGAATGAAGAAGAAAACATTTTTTGCAGTATAAATAAAAATTAAATGCAGTTAATCTGTGCCCACCAAAGTCTTTTCAACTTCACATTTCTGACTTGATGGTAAAGATTTTGACTCCACTGATTTAATCGATCAGTTTGTTCCAGTTCAGTTTAGTTTCCTCTACAGGAGATTGATTTATTATTGGTGTGTGATGTGCGCATGAATCAGATGTTATTTTAATATATCCCAATCTGACAAACATGGTACTATTTAAACAGCCTTTTGCAGAAACCCAGCAAATATTTTTTTACATAAAAAACATAACAAACTGTCCTGGTAGTGATAGAAACCCTTCATATTAGTTTTATGGATTAAAATGTATTCTGTTCTAAATTAAACAAAGAAGAACATTTTATAAATGATCATTTTCCTTGGGATACTTTAAAATTTCACAAAAAAAACTATAAAAATATTTTTTATGAAAGTCAGTAAGACATTTCCATTGTGATAATTAAAAGGCAGTTTACTCACTTATGTGTTTTTCGACCTCAGATCAGCTGCAGTTGTTCAGATCAGAAGTCTCACGTTTTTCAAAGTAAACCTGCAGCAGGTTACTGTTTTTTTTTTTTTTCAGGTTACCTCCCCAAATGACAGTGATGCAACTCGTCAGACATTTTTCACCACAGCAGTTTTCACTTCTTCAGCTCTTCTTAAAGGTTTTCAGTGCAACATCTGGATGGGACTTTTGTGCATTTTCCACAAAAACTAAAACTATTGGATCATCAAATTTTCAATTTTAACGTGCATTTTCCTCCAAACAAAAAAAAAACACCATAAGCATGAAAGCAGTCTGATATTTCCACCAACCACAGACTCCAAATAAAGATCTAAGTTTCTGACAGTCATGGTTTCCTGCAGAGAGAAGCAGCCATCTTTGGTGTGGTGAGATCAGCAGCATGAAGCTGAGATAAAAATCTAAATGAATTAAAATCATCTGAAAACGCAGCATAGATAACTCACTATGGGACACCAGGTCTAAACATGTTCATGCAAAAGACATTTTGAACATTTATCTAAACTATTTGTTCACATCCAGTAGACAGACTGAACTCGGTGAAGCCAAGATGGCCGCTGGTGTTGCAGATTAAAGTGTTTTCATGTTAACTGATGCCCAATATCCTGTTGTGTCAGTTTTTGCATCTACCTGCTAAGATCTGTCTGACAGTGAATTTATTTCCTCTTCAACTGGAACAGTACTTATAAAATGTATTCACACTCCTGGATGTTATGTTATTTTATTCATATTACAAATCAATCATGATCAAAACTATTTGGCCTTTTTGTGTACAAAAATACTAACATCAAAGTGAAAACTGATTTCTCCCTGCCATCACCCTAATGTTTACCTATGTATGTGTCTAATAAACAACTTCTTTAAAATGAAATCTGCCATGGTTTCAGTAGGTTGACTTTAATTCAGATTAAATAAATGTTCAAGAGATCCTGGGGTTGAAATTATTGTCTGGCTCCAGTGGCCAGAAATTCAGAAG